GTATAGGGGAAAACAAGAAAATGTATATTGGAAACACCTGTAATAATAGACTGCCTCCAGTGACATGAGAAAATGGGGTGTCTTTTCATGAACCAATACAATGGTTGAAAGATTTTGCATTAAAGGCAGAAAGACAATATTATACTGAGTTGCACAATTTCCCCAGAAAAGGATCATCAATTTGTTTTCTTCTGTTTTTCCGTTATTTTCTACATCCCTGTGGAAGGCCTAACTCTGCAGCATCAGTACTGTGCCTTCTTTTCAGTCCTACATATATTCACAAAATCCTTGACTATTGTAGCAGCTTGTGTAAGCAGGTTGTGGTCATGGAAGAGAAGAAAATAGCTAAAAGGAAGAGTGAAAGTTAAATGCTTAATAGGTTCAGAAAAACAGTGGAAATTAAAAGGAGCCTCAAGACAAAAAATGATGGTGCTCAAAACCTCTGCTATCTTGTTTGTACCTGACTGAGCATGATTTCAAGAAAAACTCTATTTAGAGACTGATTTTACACATCTGAAGAAAACACTTGATCAAAATTCAACCTATACATGCTATTGCTATCTTTCAATTAATATTTCTCTCGAGAGCAAACTTCTTCCTCATATACCATAGCAGTGATGGGGAACCTAAGGCACCCCCTTCTTCAAGTTTGTATAATATACTGTATAATTTCATAAATCTGGCATGCTTGGGAATGATCACCTGCTGGAAATTTGAAAATGCCGGATTTTTTAAACCAGCACGGCAGCCGGTTGCAGAGCAAGGGAGGGGGAAGCAGTGGCCAGTTCTAGAGCAGCAGCTGCACGTGGAGTGGCAGCGTGGGGTGGTGAATGGCAGTGGCAGCTGCTGCGCACAAGCTTTCCCCTCTGCATCCAGGAGGGTGGCAGGGGTGGGGGTGGGGTGGCTGGTCCCAGAGCGGCAGGGGGAAGAGCCAGATTTTTGATATCCAGATTTATGAGGTTATACTGTATTAGGACAAAGTAGTTACACAGAGGTAATTCCTGTGTATTTGAAGAATATTCATTTGTTCTCCCCAAAAATCTCATCATCACTACCAGAAAGGTTCAGCAACAAGAGTCTACATTTACTTGCTGATTTGTGTAAAGTCTTGAACAAGTTAATTTTTGGATTTATGCATTTACAACTTGAGTCAGAGCAGGAACAATTGTTTTACAATTATCTTGTTTACAATTATCTTTTAAATAATGTACATTAAATATGGTGAAGTCAATGAGAGTTGGCAGTACATTTTAACCTGTACTGTTTTAGGCCCCCTCTACGTGTTATAGGTATTGTATAATTAGCTGGTTAACTGTGCAATTACCTTAAGACCAGCTACACGTGCAAAGTACTCATAATACAATAAAAAGTTCCAACCAGCCATACAGTTAGACCTTAAAAATGTGTACTAATGTTATACCTGGTTGTTATAAAGCTTTAATTTGCATATGCAGCGGGCTGACAGGACTTCCAGCTGCACAAGCACACCTTGCCCAGTGTGAAACCCCTGGGCCTTGGGGAGCATGGCTGCCTCAGTTCCCCAATGCCTGAGGGTTTTATGCACCCCCGAGCATGGGAGATCATGGCTGCCATGATACCCTAGCCTCATGGCTGGATCCCCTCAATGGAGGGGTCTCCCAACTGTGGGAACTTACTTTTTGCCACTGCAGGGGGAGCACAGGATCAGGCTCCCACTGCACCAGCAATAAGGTGCAAGGGGATCTTATGCACAATTCCACAATCGTGCCTCCTGTCATGCACATGCACCTTCCTGTAAAGGAAGCCTTATGCTCAGTTCTACTTTAAACTACAAATAATCAGGGGACAATTTTTCACAGTGCACAAGATCTTTGACTTGGTACTCAATTTCCCCAAGCAATTCTAAAATTACAAGAACAAACCTAGCATCTGTGGCCTACACATGGCCCATGAGATAAACATTTGTCTATTTGCAATTAGTAAGACTCGTCGTTGTACATACATTGTAGACACATGATAAGTAGGAGAACATGCAAGCAACAGAATCATAAAACCATATAAAAGTAGGATTAAAGGGGACCTAAGGAGGTTATCTAGTCCAACTCCCTGCTCAAGACAGGTTTATTTTTCACTAAACCATCCAAATCAAGTACCTGCCTAATCAGTTCTCAAAAAGGATGGAGATTTGACAACCCGTATGGGTAGCCTACTCCAGTGCTTAATCACCTCATAGTGAGAAAGGTCTTCCTAATATTCAATCTAATTTTCCACTGTTGCAATTTAAGACCATTGCTCTGTTGCTACAGAGAATAATCTATCACTATTCTTTCTATAACCATTCTTCTAGTATCTGAAGACTGTTACCAAATCTCCCCTCTATCTTGTCTTCCTTCTTCAAACTAAATAATCCTTGTTCTTTTAGTCTATCCTCTTAAGGGATATGATTTAACTAAGCTGAAACTGCATTAACTTAACTAATTTAGAATATGGGCAACCATAACTCATCAAGTATAGGTGATGTTCCTCCCCCTAATTGCTTCCTCCTTGTAGCGGGCTGACTACCACAACTGGTTCCTAGACCATTGCTAGTACCTCATCACCCCTAATTGCTACAGGGTTGGGGAAAGGAGGTTATCTCCTCTGTGAAGCAGACCTTAGAATGCCCAACCCTGTTCCTCAGCTTATTTAGAAGATATCTACTTTCCACTAAATCCACTTCCACTTGTGCTTTATTATGGAACTACATCACCTATGGACCTGCATTAAACACCTGCTGCCTGCTAAACTGTGCCAACCTGAACCGTACCTCTTGACTTATCTTGCTGGGTCCGTGAAATATTGTAGGGAGAGGTGAAAAAAAATAAGCAAACTAGCAAGCGTTGGTCCTTCTGGCAGCAGAGGCACAGCAGGGCATCTCTGTGCCCTGGGCAGTGACTGAGCATGGGACAATGCTGGCTACCACAATGCCCATAGTGATGTTGGCTATTTTTTTTTGCACACATACCCCCAAAGTCAATGCCCCTGGCTACTACTGCCTTCCCCTCCCTTCAGCTATGCTGTTGTCTGGCAGTGAAGGAAAAGTTCCTTCTAATTTTCCTCATTTTACCTTTTTTTAGGCAACTAACAGAATTCTCATAGCAAGAAAATAACCCCAGTCCTATGTTAATTTCAGGAGTAGGAAATTAGGATCTGATAATCCATCAGCAAAGACAGGGTTCATCCATTTTCTTAGTTTCACAGAGGGCATCTTCTCTATGTATCTGGCCTTAGAAGGCCCAACTCTATTCCTACCAACATGAACACTTGTTCAGGTGATGTCTTTCCCCTTCCCAAACTTCTTGAGGGGGGCTGGAAGTGATAGCATGAATGTGGGACAATACGGATGAAATCTCCTGATAACTGCCTTTTAGAACCATTGCTAAATGCACAGAATTTATGGTAAATAAATTATTACAAGACTAGTATACAAAATTAAATTAGAAGTATTTTTTCTTAAAGACTACAACTTTTCAAGTAAAAAAGGGAAGAAAATAATTAGAAACTATATGTAACTATTTGTTTAAAATCACAGGCTTAGTCAGACCAAAAATTTGTATTAGCAGGCAAACATTTCAATATTTATTGGTTTATGTCTAAAATAAATTAGAGACTATTCTGTTGTTCTTGACATGGATTATACGTGGAGGAAGTAGGTATTTTAATATCCTGTTTAATGTCAACTTAGAAAATGAAATTCTTCCTTAATATTTCCATTTCATTCACAAAGACTGAAGACTCCCCAAGAAAGGAACACCAGTATTTAAAGAGATGCTGTGTTGAAATGATAGATACTACCCTACTAAAGACAAAATCCTCAGCTTTTTTTTTTTTTTAAATGGACAAAAAAATTGTCACTTGCCCTTTGGGTTGTGAAGGGAACCCAATAGTTTGAATGAAATAACATAAAATAACCAGCAAATAAGCACATTCTTCTTAAAAGAAACATTACAACAATCTAATAATTTAATACTAATTAAAGGCAAAGAACAAAGAAGCAGAAAAGGACTACTAGATTAGCAGGTCCATGTGGTAGGATAAATCCATCATAGTACGTATGTTGCCTGTGAACCCCCCGAAGCTACAAGAAAAAACATTAAGTATCATTGTGAAAATGTCTATTCTCTCTTAGTATCATTGTCAAATTACATATATATTTACAGAACAAAGAGTCTACCTAGTTAATTTTTACACAAAATTGGGACCTCAATGTATATTATGTGGTAGTTTATTACCTATTGTTTAATGTTCGAAATTTCTATCTATCAGCCAATAATTTACTTAAGAATGTAATGATTCTTGTACTTCTATAGCTTTAGTTTAGTTTACAGATTCTAAAGGTTTTGCTAGATCATGCTTCTAACAAAAGTTGTGCTTAGCTTCTTTGGTTTTAAGTTCTTCCATCAAAAAAGCTTTCTTCTAGTCTAGGTTGTATGAGACGTATCACACATATGCAGTTCCAAATAAAATGAATTGAAACTTCTGCAAGAAGATTCTTTTAGCACAGACCTTTACTCAAACATGTATCAATGCAACTACGGCACAATGAAAAATATCCCTTTGACTGACTGAGCTAATTATAAAGTTAAATTATGGACCCCTTGTTAAAGAACAGTTTGCTAAAGACACAATTTCTACAACATTGCCTGGAAGTAGCTAAATTCCCAATAAGACCATCCCTATTAACTCCTATTCATGACTGAATTATGATTTTTTATCTCTGCATAACACGCAGCATTTACTTACCCTTAAATTTTGAAGCATTCCAGTTTCTGCTGACATGACTGTATTCCCAAAATAGAACATTATAGTAATCCTCTGCTAGACATTTAAGCCATTTGTGTATTTATTTTTTAGTTTCTTTCTTGAACTTTCTAACTGTGAGAGGGCTGGGAAAGTCGAAGCATGATGAATGAGAGTTTGTTTTCTAAAAAAGTAGAAATGCAGACACTTGATCTAACATTGAAAAATTCACAGACTCCTACCTTGAAAACAAACATTTCCCGGCGAAGAATAGCAAGCGTGTCGAAGTTCCCATCACAGATGTTAGGTTTGGATCCAGGATAGGAAGGTTTGTCACCAGTGGGCGGCCGGGGAGGTTTTGGCTGCCTATCATTCTTCCCAGGGTTAGCTGGAGGGATAGAACGATGTGGGGGCACTGTTGGCAGAGGTTTTGTTGGTGGTGGGATCTTGTCAGGTGGACCTTTAAAAATACCAGCAGGACACTGATTCAGATCACACTTTAAAGAGGACTGCAAAAGTGCAACAAAAGTACACTGTAAGGAACAAGCCTGTATTGACAGGGGACTGGATTAGATATTCCTTTTCTGATTTCTGCATGTTTTGGTTCCAGATAGCTGAGGCACTAACAAAGGAAAAAAGAATGATTTCTTGAGAACGGATACCTCGCTCCTTTATTCAGCAACAAGGTTAGGTTAGAGATTGCAAAGGGTGCTGAAATTTAAAATCATGAACTGTTTATAGCATGTGCTTGAACAACTTTGAAAAACTGTCTTGTTGAGAACAAAACTCTTGTCTGTTATGTAAAATGTAGGAAATTTGTCTTACAAGTATGTAACAAAAGCCTTACCATACCATGTTTTTGAATACCCTCTTTATTATCTGTATCTATCCATCCATTCACCTATGCACACACACACACTGCACACTGAGTGGGAATATTTACATGAGAAATGACAGAACCAAGTAATGAAATGCACTGATCCTGCACCCTTGACTATCTAGCTTATCCAAACATCTGTCTACTAGTTAGTCTATTCTGGGACTATTACTAACATTTTTAGCTTTTGAGCAACTAGCTGTCTCACATAGAGAGAGTTCATAAAGCGCAAAAATACTTCCTTCTTTCCCCAGAAGTGGAACTTACTCCACCATTTATGCTGGCCCAAATTGCAGATCAGAACATTAATTGTGTACCAGTGACAGATGTAAGATCTAGTATCTTGCAACTCCCCAGGAATACAGTTTGGAAAATTTTCATTCCAGGAAAGATTATTTCCCCATGTCCCTATGGGGCACAAAGCCCTTTTCTAGGATTGAAAGAATACCTTTATGTTGGAGTCAGGCATTTCACGTGTCATAAATATATGGTAGAGCTCTTTAAAAGTTTCTAAAATTAATTCCTTACCATTTTTACTTCCATGTGAGTTCTGTACAACTGCACTTATGGCAACTAACAAGGCAACTGTTGCCACAGGTAAATGAACTTAGACAAAGTCAAATAAAAAATAACTAGCTAACTCTCTGCATAGCATTTGCAAAATAGTTTTTTCTCTTTTTTTTTGAAAAATAAATGGAACAAGTGAAAGTGTGGTGTGATATAAATGTTTTGATGACACTCATTTAGGATGATGTAACGAGTCCATATATAGTTAAACTACTGGTCTACATTCATGTTATTAAAACTCTCAGTGCCAGAACATATGATTTACAATTGGCAAAGTGAAAAAAAGTCATTCAATTTCTAGAGAAATGCTGGGTCTAATAATATTTCTCATGTATAGGATAAAATGTCTTGCCTAGGACCAGTAAAATGTCTGGTGGCAGAAAGGGCATTTTAAGTCTACTCACTTCCTCTTTTGATCTTTTAAATTATACAATTTCAGTATAACATAGCAGCTTGCGCTCTCTCATTTGCTGTGCTCTCTCATTTGCATGATAGTAGGTTAAACAGCAACTCTGTAGCTGGAGACAAAGCTAAAATTCACAGTGAAATCTGAATTTCTGATACCTGATCAAGGTAAATGAACTAGAAGGATAAATATTTACTGATTGAACATTTAAGGGAACCTTACATTACCCACACAACCCCAAACAACCATCACTAAGATCTAATAAATCATGTACTTTGTTCATAATTTTAAGGTGCACGACAATCATAATTAACAGTTAATCAGGAAGTTTTCAGCAAAATAGAAGATGTTTACTTCAATACAGGTATTATTTATTGAATCCAAATAACCTTTTAACATAAGTATTACAGAAATCAATTTGATTCAAAATCCAAATTAAATTTTCATATATAATTTGCTATTGATGTCAGGCATTTCTTCCCAGGGGTAACAAATGTCTTCAAAAGTATAGCCTACAGCTGTCAGAGCTTAATATTTAGTGCAAAGGGAAAATATCCTTGTCTAGCCCTTTAGTCTAGACTAAAGGGCTAGACCAACATAAAAGGTCATGAGAAATAACCTTCTTTCAGTTTAACCACATACAAGAAATTATAACCAGCCAGTCATTGGGTTCCCTCTGTGGAACAGTCTGACAATAAAAAACTTAATATTAGAATATTTAACATGGATGTAGCTGGCTTTCAGTTGGAGGTACACTATTATCCTACACTAACTGAGATGGCTTTCCTAACAGTAAAGACTAGCAGGAAATATAATCCTGTTAATATTCAGTTTAACCCTGAGAGAACACTTACCACTCAGACATTTAAATTGAAAAACTAATGAATGCAAAACAAATTAGTGAACTTAAACTATACTATTTGCAAATGCAAATGATATCTACTGGTTACTTGGCATTTACATACAAATAGTATGTATCTTTCACTGTAATACTAAAAGCACTCAATTAAATTAGCAAAGCAGAGTCGTTAATAGCTAAACTACAGGTGTCGAGCTCTTTAAAACTATGTAGGAAAAAGTGCCCCTGGAAATGTCAGAAACATTAATGTAGGAATTGTAGGAGTTAAACCTACAATTAGTAAATTGTTTTTTTCCTCCAATTAACTTGATTTTTTAAACTAACACAATAAATTTAGAATTTATTTACACTGGATGTTTTTTTCATTTCGGTTCACTAAAGCCAAGTACACGGATATTTTAAAGACTGGAACTTTTTTCCTCTGTTGTTCAAAACTTGGGTTGGTAATAACATAGTTTTGAGATCAATTTACTATATTTATCACGATAGGGGGCTTGCTGGGACCACAAAATTACTGTACCCAGGGAATTGCAGAGTATTATAACAGATAAATGCACAAACAACCCATTCATCCATTTATATGAGCTCAGAGTACTGTGGAAATAAGCTTGTTAAGGTTTAAGCTTTCATATCTTAATATTTTAATAGTTTGGGATTTCTCTGCACATATTCTTTACTACCATTTAAAATATTTAAGGTTGTCATTCCAGCTGAGTGCAGATTTAGATTAAGGTTGTGAACAGTGAGAGACTAAATAAGAGAGCTTCATCAGAATCCTTAGCTTCCTCATAGCAAGAATTCAAGGCCTCTGAGACTATGGCTGACAGACTGTACTAACAAACACTATATTTTTTCCCTTCTTGCCCAAAAATGCTCTTAAGCAAAATGCCTCACATGTATAATAACATACCATATATCTTCTGGATGCCTTGTAAATCATCAGTAGGTAGTTTGAAGTTGTCAGTTTCCATATACTGGTAAAATGGAGCCATAATTGCAGTGGGGTCGTTGGAATGCTCCAAGCCTAGAGCATGCCCCAGTTCATGCACTGCAACTAGAAAGAGATCATTCCCTATGGAAACAAAAAAGGAAGTGCTTTATAATAATATGAACAATAAAACAAGGCTAATACCATAACGAAAGATACGTTAATTGGTAAAATATATTTTACCAGAAGAAACCAAGAGTCAACATCTAGGGGATCACTTGAGCAGTGGCAGGCAGTTTTGTTTTTTTTTAACAAGACTATGATGATTATCACTTTATGATGTCAGAGATATGGTGATCCTCTGATGGATACCAATGAACATACTCATCTTCATTTAAATAGTGTTGTAGTGTGCACACAGTTAGTGAGCATCAGTCCTGCAACCATGGCTAGCGCACATACCATTTCAAAGTCTACTTTAATCCTACAAGACTGATTAAAATGTTTATGTTACAAAAATAGTCTTAAGCTCTGAAGGAAAATCTCTATGCCACATGCGGTAAACTTCACAAAATGAGCACTTCCTATTTAGGACAAATCCTGCAGAGAGCCTTAGTTTTCCAACTGTTTCCAATCAGACCCCTGCTGATGACCTGTACATGTTGTCCATTTCTGAATCAGCCCAACTGAAATCATTATACAGATAAAGGTACAGGTAGGTCTCCCATTACCTCTATCAAATACGAACCACTTTTATTTATTTATTTTGCAGTTGGAACTAAGCAAATTCAGTACTTTGTGTTCTCTTTACATAGGTAAATGGGTATATAAGAATTAGAAGCTTTTGTTTTTAAATAGCTCTTAATAATAAACAAATATGAAGCATTTCCAGTTACTAAGATGGAAAAGATTAAAATAATTGACTGAACATGACGCATATCGTTCCCTTTTTCAGTGAGTGCGTCTACACAAGATGTTTACTGTGGAGTTCTCTAATTAGCTCTGCAGGAAACGTCCCAGCATCTACATGTGCAGTACTATGAGGATGGAGTATACTAATTAACTCGAGTGTAGGTTAGTATTTGTAAACAGAAGTACTATCCTACAGTGGCATTTTTACTCCTCAGCAATGCACATGTAGATGCTGACCCAGCAGGCTGAGACATGTGGGTTTTGCTTACCCCCATGCTTGTGCCCCAGCCAGTCCCTTCGCAGCATGTTGAACTAAGTCAGAGCAACCCTGGGCTGGCAGGCTGACCCCCTCCCCCAGGCTCCCTACCATTCAGGGATGCTCTGACCCAGCTCAGTGTTCTGCAATCCTGGGCACAGCACCCAGGAGCAATGAACTCCAGAGTGATATGTGCCAAAGTTTATTGCTGCGCATTAACTGCATGTATGCCCAGTTATTATTATGTACTAGAGAACAAATATAGGCATGCTCACATTGTGTTTATATCTCTTTGGAAATCCATAAAAGAAATCAGACTAGTATTAGCATACAGATTTCACTTAAAAATTGTTCACAGCAACACTTGATTTTTATTACAAGTAGTTGAGAACAATTAGAAATTCTGATCTATGGAATTATTGCAGCCTTGCTAAAACTAGAGATAGAGGCTTTGAACCTGGTATAAAGGTCTAGACCAGGGATGCTCAACTTTGGTCTGTGGGCCAGATCCAGCCCATGGCACTGTGTAATTGTGTCCATGGAGCTCCCCAATGGGCCTTGCAAGGGGAGAGTGATGCCCTTGGAGGCTAACCCTGGCATGCAGGGTCAGTATGGGATCCAGTCAGGTGGTGCCCCAGGGTAGGAGCAGCATGTGCCCCATCCATCCCGCAAACTGGCTCTGTGCCATTCATCTGGCAAATAGGGCCAAAAATGTAAGCACCACGTATCCAGACCAGAAATTGTCTATTGTAAATCAACTTTCATTAACTGTCTCCTGTGACAATCAGGGCTTATCCAGAAGAGCACGCTTGTGTGGTTTGTGGCACCATGAACCACATGCGCTGCACATGCAGGCATTCACTGCATTGCTAATTTGCAATGTGGTGGGGTTTTTTTGACAGTGGGAGAACTTGGTGCAAAAAAATCATGTGCCAAAAAAAGTAGGGAGGTGCATGTGGCAGCAGTGTATGTTGCCTGAAACCAGAGCCTGGCGAGCTGAAGCCACATTCCAGTTGCTAGTAAGCTCCGTGTATTTGGATCACCATCACTGGAGCCCCAGGACGATGTCAGGATCCTAGGTAAGGCTGCTGGGGCCAACCCCAGGTGCTAGCCCCAGCCTCCTCTACCCCACTCGGGGCAACTTGCTGCATGCCAGAGCACACATGCAGCATGAAATTATGTGCTGCTGCTATTTGTCCCTGGGGAAACGCACACACATATTTGTCTGGATGTGCCCTTATTGTCTATTTGCTTTTCCAAGACTTTTACCTTGTAAAATATTAATTTTAATTGTGCAAACATCTAGAACATAAGTTGATCTATTTAAGCCAGTGGGACTACATGTGTAAAGGTTTTAAGGCTGGGTCCATAAGCTTTGTTTTTTGTAGCCATACCAAATAGTGCCAGCAAACATGTAAAGGACAGACTAATCCAGGTAGGGGAAAGGAAACTGAGTCAACACACACCACTTAAAATGAAAGTCCCTGGGACAGAACTATCACTTCTGCATATTTGTATAGTGACTACTGACAAAGGGAGCCAAATCTGGATCTCCTGCTGCTGCTCAAATATAAATTATAAATAATAACAGTGGAATTTTCTTAACATTTTCCTTTTGAGCAAGATGGTTTTTCCCTTACCCAAAAAGAAATAGCTAAAGGGCATAGTCTTCAAACCAAGTAATTTCCCACCTAAACAGCTCAATGCTTCCATGCTACCTTTCAATTTCCTATTCTACAAGAACACAGGTTACCCAGAGAGGTTGTGGAATTTCCATCCTTGGAGGTTTTTAAAACCTACTAGACAAAGCCTTGGCTGGGATGATATAGCTGGGGATTTGAGCAGGGAGTTGGACTAGATGACCTCCTGAGGTCCCTTCCAGGTCCCTCAGGTTCCCCTTCCAGGGAACTATAGGCCAGTTAGTCTTACCTCGATCCTGGGTAAGCTTTTTGAGAGAATTATCCTGGCACATGTCCACGAGGGGCCAGCAGGGGAGGTTATGCTTAGGGGCAACCAACATGAGTTCATTAGAGGCAGGTCCTGTCAGACCAACCTGGTGGCCTTCTATGATCAGGTCACAAAATCCTTAGATGCAGGGGTGGACTTCAGAAAGGCCTTCGACACTGTCTCTCACCCCATTCTCATTAAAATCTAGGGGACTGTGATGTTGACACCTACACAGTCAAATAGGTCGCTAACTGGCTGGAGGGCCGCACCCAGAGAGTGGCTGTGTACGGGTCATTTTCGACCTGGAGGTATGTGGGCAGTGGGGTCCCCCAGGGCTTCGTCCTCAGACCTGCACTGTTCAACATCTTCATCAGTGACTTTGACGAGGGGGTAAAAAGCACCCTATTAAAATTTGTTGATGACACTAAGATGTGGGGGGATGTGGGCATGCTAGAAGAGAGGAATAGGCTGCAATTGGACCTAGACAGGTTACAGGGGTGGGCAGATGAGAACAGGATGGGTTTCAACACTGACAAGTGCAAGGTGCTGCACCTGGGGAGGAAGAACCAGCAGCATACCTATAGGCTGGGGAACTCCGTTCTCATCAGTGCAGAGGCAGAAAAGGATCTTGGGAGTCATTATTGATGCGAAAATGAACATGGGCCGACAGTGTGGGGACGCGGTCAGGAAGGCCAACCACACCTTGTCATGCATCCACAGATGCATCTCAAGCAGGTACAAGGAGGTGATCCTCCCCCTCTACGCGGCACTGGTCAGGCTGTAGTTGGAGTACTGCGTCCAGTTCTGGGCGCTGCACTTCAGGAGGGATGTGGACAGTATTGAAAGGGTCCAGAGGAGGGCCACTCACATGATCAGGAGGCAGCAGGGCAGGCCCTACGAGGAGAGGCTAAGGGACCTGAACCTGTTCAGCCTCCACAAGAGAAGGCTGAGGGGGGATCTAATGGCCTGTTACAAACTAGTCAGGGGGGACCAGCAGACATTGGGGGAATCCCTGTTCCCCCGAGCACTCCCAGGAGTGACTAGAAATAACGTTCACAAGGTGGCAGAGGGTAGATTTAGACTAGACAGCAGGAGGTGCTACTTCACAGTCAGGGTGGCTAGGATCTGGAACCAACTTCCAAGAGAAGTGGTGCTGGCTACTACCCTGGGGTTCTTTAAGAGGAGGCTAGATGAATACCTTGCAGGGGTCGTTTGACCCCAGTGCTCTTTCCTGCCATGGCAGGGGGTCGGACTTGATGATCTGTCAAGGTCCCTTCTGACCCTACAAACTATGAAACCATAATTTTCTATGATTCTATAGGAATAGGGAGGTGAAGAGTGATTTTAAGAGAGATAGCTCTCTTTTGTGTATTTCTTCCTCTCCCTGAAACTGTTTCTCTTATCTTGTATCTAGAGAGACTGAGGGGTTGCTTATGTTAATAGAGGAGGATTCAGGCCTATAAGAAACCAAAGTGCAGCTCAATTCTTACAAATTCCAATTCAGCTACAACACTTATTTTCAGAATCATATTGCAAAAACAAACAAACAAAAACAAACAAATAAAAAAAATTATCAAAGAACAGAGGTGGAATTAGTTATGTGTTTTAAAAACCAATTTGATCGTGCCTCCAATTTTTCAAGTGTTTCTATTACCAACGTGCTGAGATAAACCCTAACCTGAATGAATAAGAAATGGTGAATACCTGACATTCAATATTTCACATATAAGACTGTCCCAGCAGTCTGACTGCTCACGTAAATTCCTAGCCAAGATACAGGACCTCCACCGAACCCATGAGGTGCACAGTGCCACCAGGGGAAATGCCCTGCTGGACCTGTTCCTTGCCACAGGCGATAACCTGGTGAGGGAATTGCAGGTTCTTGGCCACCTGGGTGATAGTGATCATTGCTTGCTGAAATTCACTATCCAGTGCAGGGTGTCAAGGACTAGCAGTAAGGCGGAAGTCCTTGATGTCATGAGGGGTGACTTCAATAAGTTAAGACTAGTATGAGAGGCATTGGGATCCC